GTAAAACATATGGACTTCTCTGGTGATCCAACAGTTAAAAATCTTTCGGCCAATGGAGGGGACACAGGTTCGATCCCTGGTCCAGGAAGATGCCACGTGCCACAGGGCAGCTAAGCCCATGCACCACCACTGCTGATACCCACGCCCTAGAGCCCACGCCCCGCAGCAAGAGAAGCCCACCGCAGTGAAGGAGTAGCCCCTGCTCTTGGCAACGGGAGAAGTCCTGCGGGTAGCAGCAAAGAACCAGTGCGGCCAAAAATAAATCAATTAAATAAATAAAGTTTTAAAAAGTATGCCTCCTCTCTGCCAGCAATCCACTCCAAGAGAAACAAGTGCCCACGTTTGACAAAAGACATATACAAGAATGTTTATAACATCTTTATTCATCAGAGTCAGAATGTGGAAACTAATTAAATGCCCATCAGTGGTAGAATGGACAAATAGATTGTGATACATATTTGCAGTGGAATACTACACATCAATTAAAAATATTCAGCAAGCTTTTATGAACAAAATTGGGCAAAAGAAACCAGACACGAAAGAGCACATACAGTGTAATCCCATTTACATGACGTTCAAGAATAGTCAAAACTGGGGACTTCCCTCCAGTGGTTAAGACTTGATGCTTTCACTGCCGTGGGCCTGGGTTCAATCCCTGGTTGGGGAGCTAGGATCTCACAAAGTGTGCAATGTACAAAAAAAAAAAAAGAATAGGCAAAACTCTTGTTGGTGATAGAAGTCAGAATGATTACCTTGTGTGTGTGTTGGGGCCACAGGGATGTATCTCACCCTGGGGGTGGTTACATTGAAAGTAAAAATTCATAAATTGTTTGAAAACACAGTTTAGTAAAGCTTGACAAGGCATGCCTTTGGCCAGGCTCTGTACCGGCCCAGGGAGACAGCAGTGACCACGACCCCTGCCACAGTGGATATCAGCCTGGTCTCTGTCTTGGACAGCTGCCCTCCACATCATCTCCATCTGTGCAGAGAAAACAACCTGTGGTCACTGTATTATGCCACTCAGGCTGTTGAGACAAAGTATCACAGACTGTGGTTGAAGTATTGTCTCCAGCTCTGGAGGCTGGAAGTCTGAGATCAGGTACAGTGCTCCCTGGAGCACTGTAAAAGGTCCGAAAGCACTGGGAAAGGTGTGTTCCAGGCCTCTCTCCTGGCTTCTGCCAGTTCCTTGCTTCTGGCAGCATGCTTCCAATCTTCCCCTGATGCTCTCCTTGTGCACATGTCTGTGTCCAAATTTCCCCTTTTTATAAGGATGCCAGTCACATTGGGTTAGGGCCACACTCTAGTATGACCTCACCTTTAATTACATCTGCAATGGCTCTTCCCAACCAGGGTCACATGCTGAGGTACTGGGGCTTAGGACTTCACCGTGAACTTGAGGGTATCACAATTCAACTGTAATACCCGTTAATAGTTGCAAACTATGCTTTTCCTAATGAGACTACACTTGGGCCTGGAGGACAAGGGTCCTCTGGCCCTGCTGGTGGGAGAGGAAAGGCTGGTCTTTGTGAATGGAAGGGCGGACCAGATGCATGGTTTGCAAAGCAGCAAATCACAGGTCTTGGGATTGAATCCCCTCTCATATAACAATGATATATGAAACCTCTCATATAACAATGATAACAGCTACCATTGGTTGAGTACTGACTGGGCAGGCATCATACTCAGCATTCTGTTATGGTACCTTGTTAGCCACAAGCCTCAAAACATCACAGCTGTAAAATACACACCAGTTCTGATTTATGGATGAGGAAACCGAGCCCTGTAGCTGCCCAAACACACACGAGAAAGTGACAGAGCCAAGACTTAAACCCAGGACTGACCCCATGGCCTTGCCCCACTACACTCTGAGCCCCCTTTCATCCCTCTGAACCTGATTAATGAAGCAAGCAGCGCTAAAACAGAGCTGTGAGAATTGAGCAAGATACCTTACCACTTGCCACATAGCATGTCCTGGCTGAGGATTTTTCTCTTCCCCACTCCTACCCATGCCCACAGAGGAGGTTCATACGGGTGAAGCCTCTGCAATAGCCCTCTCCAAAGTAAGCAGCCCTTGGTGGTCTGGGTCAGCCCTGGAGCACACCCACACCCACACCCCCCGCTCCACTCCTAGGCACATTCTTGCCTCTCTGCCACTGCCACTTGCGAATGAGTTTTCAAGGGATGGTGTGATCCATCTGGGTCCCCAGTGCAAGGGAAAGGACAGCACTGAAGAATAACCTATTAAATGTGGAACGATGGCATTGGAGAATGGATAACCCAGAGGTGGGTGGAGGATGCAAGAAATGAAAGGTAGATAGATGGGTGGAAGGGAGGAAAGAAAGATACAGAACGAATTGGATGGATGAAAAGCTGGATGGATTAAGTGGAAAGACAGAATGTCGTGTGAATAGATGAACGGACAAAAAACAGTTTTCAATTGGTAGAAGGCTGGATGAATAGACCAAGAGATGGATGGAAGAGTAGGTGGGAAAATAAATAGATGGAAAGAGAGGAAGCGGGGAGGGAAGGAAGAAGGGCAGGAGGAAAGAAGCAGGAGGCAGGCTGAACAGAAGGGACCGCGTGGGAGAGGACGTGGATGGATAGGTGGGTGGAAGAAAGAAACATCCTGGGGTTCAAGCGTCTATGCGGGCAGGACCCGGCCAGCACGCAGGACGTTCCTGAGCTCTCCCCATCAGCATCGTGGCCCATTTCACCCTTCGACCGGCCTCAGTTTCCCCTCTGGGAGAGCCTGCGTGTCCCCGCCTTAGAGACCAAGGTGGTGGAATGGGTCAGGGGAAACAGGCGCGGGGCGGGCGCTGGGCAGTCCCCGAAGTCGGGGCCGGCCCCGCCCGGTGGAGGCGGAGACCGGGTGGAGGCGGAGGCCCGGCAGCACCCGGCTCAGCGTCTAGACCAACCGAAGATCACTCAGTGCTGCCGAGATCATCAGCGCCGCGGGAGCCCGGCCAGGTGAGCGCCGCTGGGGCGCCGGGCGCGGGGCGCGGGGAGGGGGCGCGCGCAGCAGCCGCGGCAGGCAGGACCCGCCCGGAGCTGCCCAGCAGGAGGCTTTCAACGTGGGATGGGTCGCCCCGCTCCTACCCACCCAGCGAGGGCGATGGGTCTGGAGTGGTCCCTGCCTTTCCCTGCTGCCTTTCACCCGACCCCGCTTTGGGTCCCCAGCGACCTGGATCCAGGGCCAGCCATTCACTGAGACTCTATCAGAGTTCGCAAATGTTCTCTGAGCCTCAGTTTCCCTCCCCGATGATGGGGGCGGTAAGCCTCCGCTGCACAAGGCTGCTGGGAGGATTAAATGCTGCAGTGCCAGGCCAGCTCGGCGCTTAGCCCTAAGCTCCATGAGGCAGAACAGCTCCCAGGGGTTTCACTCATTCAGCGGTTGTTTACTGACAGCCTGCTCTGTGCCAGGCACAGGACCGGGTGGGTGCCACGGACACCATTTAATCCAAGCCCTCCTGGCGCATGTGTGCGGGTGGCCTGTGAGGGCCCTGCCGTCGGTGAGGTGGACAGGGCAGCCAGGGTTATGTGAGTTCATCTGGCAGACGTGGATGCTGAGGTGCAGGAAGGTTAGAAGGACCTTGCCCAAGGGTGCATCCGGGAAATTCGACCTGCGGCAGGGTCCCAGCCTTTGTCACAGAAAGCATCCGCACAGGATAGAAAAACACTCTGGAGCCACAGACTGTTCCCCAGCGCAGAGTGCCGTGGCCTGGCAGAGGAGGGTTCCACCCTGTGGTTCCATTCCCCCTCCCACTGGGGGAACTGGACTCATACTCTGTGATGACTGAGATCTGGGGTGTCTCCCCTCCCCATTACTCTGTGAGCGCCAGTGCTTTATGGAGCCTGACCATATCCCTCACTCAGAACTGTGGCCAGCAGGGCAGAGACTAGAACATCCCATACAGCGGTCCCAGACGCCGTCCTGTGACCACCACCAGCAACACCTGTGGGCTCAGCATTCGGTCATTCAGTCACACAGTTGCACCTGTTCTTATTTTTCTATCTTAAACTGAAGGATAATTGCTTTACTATATTGTGTTGGTTTCTCCCACAGAGCAGCATGTATCAGCCATAGGTATACATATGTCCCCTCCCTCGCACCTGTTCTTTTTTTATAGCCACTATGCAGAGCAGAGTTTACTCTCTCTGTATCCACAGGGCCTGGCACACTCTGGTAGACCCAGAGTACACAGTACATGTTGCTGCTGTTATTAATGATGATAATGGTGATCCAGCCTGTGGTCCAACCTTATCCTCAGGAGGAGCAGGAGGTAGGGGGTGAGATGATGGTGACAGTGACTGACAGCCTGGCTCGCTTTAAGTCTTGAGTGAGGAGGACAGGATCCTCAGAGCTGGACCCCAAGGACCGCAGACCTTATCCTGAAGCCCACAGAGGGTTGGGCAAGCCTTGTGGTGTCAGCCAGCTGCACTGCTGGGGATCTGGGAGAACCGGAGGCAGCAGTTGCCAGGGCAGAGGTGGTCCAGCCCTTGTACAAGTTACCAAGGCCCTTTGGTCCCACGTGGCTCCTCCCTTCTTTCCTCCTCCAGGAAGCCCTCCCCATTTCCCCATCAGAAAGCAGTCACTGCGCCCCCCTCCCCCAGCCAGGTAGCACAATTTGATCCATCTCCCTCTAATACTACATGGGAACTGGGCTTTTAGGGAACCGGGCTTTTAAGGAGCTGGTAGAGAAGTCCGGCGTGTTTGGTGTAAATCTCAGCCATGTGGTTTGGGCCTTGGGTTCCTGAGATGTGAATCCCAAGGCCTTGGCTGTTTTGTCTCTGTCTGAGGAAGGCAGCAGCCACCTTGGAAGTTCTCAAGATTCCTACAGGGATAGGTTTGGGAACTCAGAGGGTCTCTAATTCCCACCAGCAGGTCCCCTAAGCCCCCAGGAGTCTGATAATGCACACGACTCAAGACAACTCTAGAGCATATGCTCTTCTGTTTTTCCCTACAGGTGGATAGATCCCGAGGCCACATGGCTCAGTAGAAGATGAAGCCCAACCCAGCAGCCTCCTCCCCAGAGGCCTGCAAAGCTGCAGGACAGGGCCAGCAGAGCTGCCCTGTCTGTCAGGCCTGGGGTGGGGTCTCAGGCCTGGGGAATGTGTCTGGACCTGGGCTGGGGTCTGGTGTAGTTCTAGAACCTGGGTCAAGGCCTGATGCTGCTACAGAACATGGCCCAGGGTCTGGAGCCGTCTTGGGCCCTGGGCAGGGGCCTCGTGATGTTCTGGGACTCAGAAAAGGGTCTGGAGCAGTGTCAGGCTCCGGGCAGAGGCCTAGTGATGTTCTGGGACCCAGACAAGGGTCTGGAGCAGTGTTGGGCCCTGGGCAGGGGCCTAGTGCTGCTTCAGGAGCTGGGTTAGTACCTGATTCAGGAGCTTCATCTTCCCCTGGCCCAGAGGTAGGGCCTGGACCCAGGCGGGGATCAGGGGCTGGGCAGAGACCCAGTGAGCCAATGACAGTCCCAACACCGGCTCAACAGCGGAAGACTCAGGTCACCCCTGTGCAGGCCTCAAGGCAGAAGGCTGTGGTCACCGGAGGAGCAGGCTACCTGGGCTTCAGCCTGGGTTCCAGCCTGGCCAAGAGCGGCACTTCTGTGATCCTGCTCGACCTCCGCAGACCCCAGTGGGAGCTGTGCCCAGGGACCGAGTTCGTCCAGGTGCAGTGATGATGTCTTGGGGGACGGGCGGGGGGCAGGCGGAGGTCAGGGGTTGGTGTCTGATGTGTAACCGGTGGCTGGTAGTGAAGAGCACAGGCTCCAGAGTCAGACTCCAGCTCCCAGCTGGGCCGCCACGGCCACAGGGCCCCGCACCTCTGAGCCTCACGTCTTTATTCACAGAAAGGGGACACCAACCGTATCTGCTTCACTAGAGATTGTGGGGAGGTGAGGAGACAGTGCGTGTAAACCTCTGAGCACGTTCTCTGTGACTTAGCTCCATAGAGGGCCTGATGATGCTGAAGACAGACGCCCAGTGTAATCACCTAGTAAATCCTGCCCCACAGCTTGTCCGGGCTCTGCAGATGCTGGGCCTGGGTGGGGTCAGGGGGCTGACTCTGAGACCCGCCACAGCTGTTGTGTCTGATTACCTTGGGCCCAGACTCCTACCTCCGTGTCTTTCTTCTCTGTTTCAGGCTGATGTCCGAAATGCAGAAGCCCTGCACCGTACCTTCGAAGGCATGGACTGTGTTTTCCACGTAGCCTCCTACGGAATGTCTGGTGCTGAGCAGGTGAGACCCCCACACACACACAGGGCTTAGGTCCCGGCTCTGCCTGCCCCCGCCTAATGCCTGGGAGTTCATTATGCGCTTCACCTATTCCAGGAAGGATCTGGGCTACACCCAGCCTACATTTGGCCCGTGACACCAAATGCCAGTTCTGCCATTTTCTAGCTGTGTGACTAGGAAAGTTAAGTTAACCTCTTTGAGCCTCTGTTTCTTCATCTCTTAAGTGAGGACACAACTAGTGCTGATGTCACAACCTCCCCAGAGAGCAGTGTGACAGTTATCTGTCAAAGCATACAACAGCCTTTGGCTAAGAAATTACACTTACTTACATTACTCTTGCCTGGAAAATCCCATGGATGGAGGAGCCTGGTAGGCTGCAGTCCATGGGGTCACTAAGAGTTGGACACGACTGGGCGACTTCACTTTCACTTTTCACTTTCATGCATTGGAGAAGGAGATGGCAACCCACTCCAGTGTTCTTGCCTGGAGAATCTCAGGGACGGGTGAGCCTGGTGGGCTTCTGTCTATGGGGTCGCACAGAGTCGGACACGACTGAAGCGACTTAGCCACAGCAGCAGCATATATTTGCAGCATTGGTTTTAATAACAAAACAGGAACTAACCAAAATGCCCATCCACTGGGGACTATGTAAATAAATTGTGATATAGCCTAACAATGAAATTCTATGCAGCCATTCAAAAGAAGGGGAAAGAATGAGGTGGCTCAATATATGCTGATAACAGAACAATTTCCAAGGTACGAAAACAGCATTTGACACATTTTTTTAAAAAATAAAAGCATATACTCACATTTGTATTAGAAATGGGAGGGAAATTTCTTCTTCGTTGCATATTAGTTTTACTGTTTGAGTAGTTTTAACCTTGTGATTGTATTACCTATTGAAAACAACGGCAAGAATAAATATAGCTGGAAAATCAGTATGGCACCCACTTCCCTGTGTGGTTGTAGGGATTAAATGAGATGTAAAGGCCTCACCGTGTCCCTGATACACAAGCAACTCTCACTGTGGCCCAGTTGTTTTTACGTTTTACACCCCGGCCCTCTCACTTGGGTAGACAGTATTACTGTCTCTGTCTTATGGAGAAGGAAGCTGAAACTTCTAGAGCCAGGAAGCACTCCAACACATCTGAGGCCCTTTTCTGTGTCACGCCCTGCGTCAGGTCCTCTCAGGGGGCTTATTAAATCCTGCCAACCACCCAAGGGGCTCGTCCCTCACTTCATAGGTGAGGGAGCCCAGGCAGATGGGAGCAGAGAGGGGCACTAGAGCCCAGGGCCCCCCCACTACCAGGGGCCCCTCGGAACCCCTGCTTCTGAGCTGCAACCCCCCCACCCTGCCCCACCCAAGCCCAGCCGCACAGCCTCAGCTACAGGGCTGAGACAGCACCTCGACTCTCGCACCTCCGTCTTGCCTTTTAGCTGCAAAAAGAGCAGATCGAGTCTATAAACGTTGGAGGCACCAAACTAGTGATCGATGGTAGGCGCTCAGGGCAGAGTGTGATCTGCTGTGTGTTTGCCGCGTCTTTTTTCACCTGGGCTGCCGTAGGCCCAGCTCTGGGGGCCAGGGCAGGGGGACAAAGGTGGGAGCCTCCTCCCACCCCCTGCCCTCCCCCATGGAGGGCCTGTGGGCAGCACATCCTTCCTGTTCTGCAGGCGTGCCCAGGCCCTGGCATGGGGCTCAGTGTGACCTCAGGGTGTCTGGGGACAGGGGAGTGGAGTTTGCGCAGAGGGCTTAGGGGTTGGGAGCAAGAAAAGTTGCTGAAGTCCAAATGAGAAGACCCACCTCTGGGCTCTCTGGGCACGTCCTGCCTTGTCCTCCATCCTGTTTTTCTCTCTGATTCTAGAGTGTGTTTTCCTTGTGTCCCCAATGAGTGAGACTTTCTTCTGACCTGTCCCTGGCAAGGTAGCCACACTGAGAAGGAAGCGTGAGCCAGCCTGGCCCCCAAGGACTCTCAGAACAGGGCCTTGGCCCTTCCCCAAGTGAAGGGAAGGAGGCCCTTCCCTCCTGAGGCAGGCTGTGTGCTGGAGGGTGGGGGGAGGACTCATCCAAGGAGGTCCCCATGGGCACCCCTCAGCCGACTCCCTGCTCACATCAGCGCTGTGTGTGTGTGTGTGTGTGTGTGTGTGTGTGTGTGTGTGTGTGTGGCTGTGTGACCTGTCACTGCAGCTTGTGTCCGCCAGCGGGTTCCAAGGCTTGTCTACACCAGCACTGTCAATGTGGCATTCGGCGGGAAGCCTATAGAGCAAGGCGATGAGGACTCTGTGCCATATTTCCCACTGGAGAAGGTACCTGGCTTCTGGGGGAGGTGGGCAGGGCGGACCTGGGACCCACAGTTCAAAGGGCAAGGGTGGGCAGAGCCAGGGTCAACTTCACAACTCAGGGTGAGACCCAGGAGCAAAGAGTCCCCAAACGACATGGTTCAAGCACTCTCCTACTTCAGTCATGCCAGCAAGGGCTTTGCAATCACACCGACCTGGCCTTGAACCAGCAAAGCGACTTTCTGCCGTGGGACCCTGAGCTAACCACTTCACTTGGAGGCTCTCCTTCTTCATCTGGGCATGATAACACCACTCTGTGGGGATGTGGAGAGCTGGAAATGAGACGATGATGTGAAAATGCCACGTGAGCACAAGGATTCAGTGTAAACAGTCCATCTGACACGCATCCAGATCCACACCCCAGTGCAACCGATGTCCCAGTACAGGCGATGTGGCTGACGGGAAGCTCCACTGTTACTGCTCTGAACTCTCTCCTCTGTTTGTGGCTCCCACCCAGAGGGAGAGGAGGGGTGGTAGGGCTCAGGGCTTGGCCATTTCCCAGAGGGGGTCCCAGAAGTGAGCTCCCATTGGTCAGAAGAAAAAGTGCAGCCCTGGGGCCAGGAGGGCTGGGCAGTGTGATCCTCAGTGTCCCTGACCCCATCTGGTGGCTCTGTTCTCCCTGTCCTTGAACAGCATATGGACCACTACTCCCGAACCAAAGCCATCGCTGACCATTTGATCCTCATGGCCAATGGGACGCCTCTCCCAGGTAAGTATTGGGGACCTGCTCACAGCAAACATGCGTGTCCACTGCTGCCTGCATGAAACACATGAGCAATTCTTGCTTTTAGCTGGTATGTCTCTGTGGCCCAGCTTCCTTCTAAAGGACACTTCCCCAGGGCCTTGGGTATTCAACATCCAACAAATTCTGAGCACCTACATTCAATAGGGATACAGCCTGGAAAACATCAGACCCAGTCTCTGCCCTCACGTTGCTCATGGTCTGGTGGGGAGACACTTGGGTCAGCCCAAGTCTAGCCCTCTTTTCTGCCACATAAGAGGGCATCCAGTTTGGGGGAATCCTCTTCTAGATAAAAAGAGTACATTTATGAATATGCAGTGAGGTGTGGCACTTTGGAAGGGCTGTGCAAGTGAGGGGTGCTTCAGGAACTCCCAGAAAAATTGGCCCCGGCTGCCCAACTGGATTGCCTCTTCTTATCATATTGTCATAAACAAATAATAATAGAATAAGCACAGATGGCAGCGTGGTGCAGTGACTAAACACCCACATACAGGCATCAGACTGAACTGAGTTCAAATCCCAGCTCCACCACCTTTCAGTAAAAGTCTCCTATCACTTGACAGCATCTGTATAAGGTAAGAGATCCAGTTTCTTTCCAAACTCAGGAGTCAAATATATTCAGGTAAAGGCCTGGCTATCCAAATTATATTTGCTTTCTGAAATTCAGAAATTAAAAAGAATCAGAAAAGCTGGTTTCTTTCACTGTCTAAACTCAGAAGCCAAGTGGATTTAGAGGGTTAAGGTTGCTTGGTATCATAATCCCCAAATTTACAGGAGAGAAAACTGAGGCTAAGAGGTTAACTGACCTAGATCAAGGTCACACAGCTCTTAAGTGGCAGACTTAGGGTTTGAAAACCCACCTCCCCCCAGGGAAGTCTAACACCAGAGCCTTGGGGCTTAACCACTGTGCTCCACTTAGCTGTGGCTGAGTGGTCTCTGAGCATGAATGCTTTCCCCTAAAATCCTCCCCACCTCACCCCCTCACCCTAAACCTGTCAGGTCTCAGTTGTTTATCCCAGTGGAAACATCCAGCTGGGTTTCCCAGGAGTTTGAGCCTGTGCAATAGAACTCTCTTCTCTATCAGGGCCTCCCCTGGCTGGACCAGCGCTCCTACAAGTCAGACACCTAATCCTCCAGCTGAGAATTATTTATGCAAGCATCCCCAGCTTTCCATGGTCAGGACAGTCACGGATACCCTGGGCCCCACCCCTCTGTGACGTAGCCACCCAGTGCCCCACTGGCCAATGTCAGCTGCAGCCTGACCAGCTTTCCCCCCCGACCCCCACCCCATGCCCAGGTGACCCAGAGTTTAAAATTAGCTCCAGGCTGTCTACAGAAAAGCTCACTTGATACCTGCCTCACAGGAGTCCAGCCACAGTCTCCCTGGGTGATTTCCGGTCCCTGCTCCCCCAGCTGGTCCCTGAGAGACTCTGCCTCTAGCCTGACATGGAGCAGCCTGGGCCCTGTAACAGAGTCTTGAGACCTGCAGACCCCAGCTCCATGTGAAGGCGCTGTGTCTTCATGTCTCTGGGTGTGTGAGTATCCTGGGGTCACCAGGACAAATCACCACTAACCTGGTGGCTTGAAACAGCAGAAATTTCTTCTCTCACAGTTCCCGTAGTTCACAGTCAGATGTCTGAAATCCAAGTGTCATTTGGGCTGCACTCCCTCCAGAAGTGTGTGGGAGAAGTGTGTGACTCTTCCAGCTTCTGGTGGCTCCAGGAGCTTGGGGTCCTTCTTTGGTGCATGGCTGCATCACTTGGCATCAGTCTCTGCCTCTGTCTTCATGTGGCCTCTCCTCTTCTCCCTCTGTGAGTCTCTTGTAAGGACACCTGACGTTGGATTTCAGGCTCAACAGGATAATCCAGGATAGTTTCATGTTTAGAACCTTAATTACATCAGCAAAGACCCCTTTTCCAAGTAGGGTAGCATCCATGGGTTCCAGGACACAGACATAACTTTTGGGGGCCCACCATTCAACCCACTACACTGGGCTTCGTTGTTAAGTGAGGGTGTTGGAGAAGGAACAGTCAGGGAGGCTATGGAGCAGTCAGGAGCAGGCTATGACCTGGTGACACCGTCCCTGGCTAATTTACAAAGAAAAGGGAATTTATACCAGAAGGATATGTGGTAGCTTCTGGAAAATATGATCCAGAAAAATGACCACCAGGGCTTAGAAATGACAGGGTCAGGGAGATGCCAGGGACCTGGGAGGCAGGAGGTGGTGATCAGTCTCTCAGGGTGAGCTCACTCTTACGATTTTAGATCCCATGTCAGCGGGATGCAGAGTTATGTTCCTGGGTGAGAAGACGGCATCAGCCGGGGTCTTAGAATGCCACCTCAGAGAAAAGAGGTGTATCTAGACTGACATTCGCCCCCAGACCTGGTACAAAGGGGAAGGAGATCCCAAAGAAAGGTGGGCTTCTGGTCCCAGAAGATGATATACACTCAGCTCCCCAAACCGGGAGCAGGCTGCTTGGGGAACCTGAGCCTTGGGGGAGAGGAACATCTACCAGGAGGCTCCATCTCAGTTAAGGAGATGGGGTTGAGAGTCCAATAATTTACAAATAGTAGCTGAAAAAATTTTAAATCTTAAACACAAATGAATTAGAGTAAATTGAAAATTTTGTAGACTTCCTTAAGGCTTGAATATGTTTGGGGCAGCTCTTCAGGCTATACCCCTAGACCTCCCCCCACAGGGTGACAGGCTCCCACGGGGACCCCTCAGCAGAGAATTTGGGAAACCCGGGACCAAACTCTATCTTAGTCCGGAGACTCTGCTGACACAGCAGAGAGGGGGAAGAGACCTTCAGCTCTCATGCTAATGGCTCTAGTCTTTTCCTTTCTGGTTGTCTGGAAAGGGTAACTGCAACCACTAGTTACAATGCATCCATTTTCCATGTGAAGAGACCAAGGCTGAGAGAGCTGAGGGTCTAGTTGTTAATATTGTGTCACCAGAGCTGTTAGTGGAAAGAGCTTGAACCTGGGTCTCCATCTCAGCTCCACTAGGTTGAGCTGTGTGCCCTTAGGCAAATCACATCTCTTCTCTGAGCTTTGGTTCCTTTATCCATAAAACAGGGATAATAACAGCTCCCACCTCATAGGGCTGCCTGGAGGGGAAAATTCCAGGCTTACCAGAGCATCAGATGAGGGCACCAGACACATAGTAAAACCTCTCTGAGAGCCCTATGGACTTTACCTAATGACTAGAAGAAAGAAAGAGCTACAGCTGTTGGCATGAGGGCACGTGGGTCTGTGCACATCTGTAAAATGGGCACAGTAGGACTCTCGTGGGAGTCAAAGGCGATCACGTCTGTCAGAGCTGGTTAAACTCTCATGGGCCATGCACATAGGTGTTGCCTCTGTTACTGGCCTGTCAGTTTTGTGAGTTCAGGGACCATTTCTTGGTCCTCCTTGGATTCTTCACACCATCCATCCCAGGACCCAGTGCAGAGCGGGTGGGGAGGGGGATGATTCTGAATAGGGTTTGTTGAATGACTAGCTGATCTACTGAGAGAATAATTAATTGAATGAGGAAACTCCAAGGACCTGCCTAGAAACTCCCACTAACCTGTCCAGGTAAGGACCAGGAGACGTGGACAGCCTTTCTATCCCCCTTCCTGCTCATCCACCCCTTCCTAGGCCCCTGACTGCCCTCCCCTGTGTCATAGGAGGAGGCTCTCTGAGGACGTGTGTGCTCCGACCCCCAGGGATCTACGGCCCTGAAGAGCAGAGGCACCTGCCCCGCGTGGCGGTACGTTGTTCCAGCCCGAGGCTGAAGGCACGGGAGGAACCGGCTGAAATTGTGGGAATGAGGTCCATGGTCACCATGTCAGTCTTGGGTCAGTGCCCTCAGTTCTGGGAGAGCTCCTGCTCTTGGGGGTACTCCAGCCAGGCCTGGTACCCATGGAGAAGACATGGAGTTACAACCCCAGAGAGGCAGAGGAAACTGTTGCCCTGCTCAGATGTGGGCTCCTGAGGGCCGGAGGGCTCATCTCATGCTGCTGGCACCAGGGTCTTCACACAGAAAACCTCTCTCCAAACAACGCTGGGTGCCAGGGATATGGTGCAAGGGGCTCTGGATCCTGTCCTCAGATTTCTCACAGCCTAGTCAGGGAGACAGGTTCCACAGTCACAGGTTCAGGGTGGTAAGGGCTGAGGTGAGAGGGAGAAGATGGGAGGACAGCAGAGAGGGCCTGGCAGGGGAGGTCCAGGAGGGCTTCCTGGAGGAAGTGACACCTGTGCTGTTTGAATAGGGAGTGAGCTAACCAAGGAAATGGGGTAGTAGAGAGAAGGTGATCCAAACAGAGGAGAGAGTTTGGGCATAATGCTGGAAATGAAAACCAGTGCCAGGTTTGGGGATGTACTTCCCTGGAGGCTCAGATGGTAAAGAATCTGCCTGCAGTGCAGGACAGGTTTGATCCCTGGGTTGGGAAGATCCCTGGAGAAGGGAATGGCTACCCATTCCAGTATTCTTGCCTTGGAAATCCCATGGACAGAGGAGCCTGGCGGGTTACAGTCCATGGGGTCACAAAGAGTTGGACACAACTGAGTGACTAACACTAACAGTGAACAAAATAGACAATTCTATCCTCCTTCCTGTGGGCTTTATATCCTCACAGGAAGAAAAACAGAACACCTTACATGACAAGGAACAGTCGAAGGTGCTGGGACTGTGGAGAAAGTGGAAAAGTGCAGCGGGATGGGGGAAAGCTAGGGTGCCAACAGTCAGGGAGCCTCTTTGAGTAGGGACACTGAGCCCCTTGAGGTGACCAGGTGTATCACACAGGTAGGCAGAACCTTCCAGGCAGAGGGCATGGGAGGTCCAAAGCTCTGAGGTGTGAACCTGCTGGCATGTTCCAAGGAGGAAGCCAAGTGCCTGGAGCTGAGTGAGACCAAGGGGTTCGGTGGGAGGCAAGTCAGAGAGTTGCTGGATCCAGAGCAGAAGGGTCTCCTTAGCCATCTGACCTGCCAGAAAGGCGTCCCAAACGTTCTGAGCAGAGGAGACATGATTTGACTTAGGATTCAGAAAGATCCCCAGCTGCGTGGAGAACAGCCCACAGGGGCTTTGGGTGGAAGCGGGGGACCAGTTAGGAGGCTATTTCAGTGTCCGGGTGAGCGATGAGGGTGGCAGTCAAGGCAGTGAGGAGTGGCTAGATTCTGGACAGATAGTAACAGCTGAGACAACTGCATTTGCAGATGGGTTGGGTGCAGAGAGGGAGGGAGGGGACAGCCAGAGGGGGCTACAGAGCTTTGGCCTGAGCCCTGGGTGCTGTGGGCCGAGGGAAAGCAGGGGTGGCCAAGTGGGGTCTGGCACTCACAGGACAGGGCAAGTCTGCCTTGTCTATCTGGCAACCAAATGGGCCACCAAGTGGAGACGTCTGTCAGGAAGGTTTAGTGGGGCTGGGACAGAGAGGTCTGGCCTGAAGCTAGAAACTGGGGAGCCATCGGCCTGGAGATGGAATTAAAAGCCATTTCCAGGCTTCGTCTGTGTTTCTCACCCTGCCCACCCCCACCAGAGCCACATTAAGAAGAGGTTGTTCATGTTCCGATTTGGGGACCGACGGACACAGATGAACTGGGTCCATGTCCGCAATCTGGTGCAGGCCCACGTGCTGGCCGCCGAAGCCCTCACTGCTGCCAAGGGCCACGTGGCCGTGAGTCTCCCACAGTGCTCCCCCTCCTTACCCCCCAGGCTGCAGGTAGGCGCCCCCCCATCCCTAGGGGATTCCTGGCTCACACACAACAGATCTCCCCAACTCAAGTTACCCCGTGGGCTTGTCAGCCCAGGAAAGCTGGGGGGCGGGGGGTGGATGATACCTTTTAGAGCATCGTTAGCTCCTTGAAATGACCCTGGGAGGTAGGTGTTGTTGATCCCAGAGTGACAGTCACCAAATGCTAAGCATCTTACATATATTGTTATAGCTCCCCTTTAGAACAGCCCAAGAGGGAGATCCCATTATTATGCTCCCATTTCTCAGATGAAGAAACTGAGGCACAGAGAGTTTAAGTGACTCCGTCGAGGTCATACAACTAGTCAGTTGGCAGCCCCAGGATCCAAAGGGACTTGTTCAGATCTTTCTCCAGGGCTGCTCAGGAGAATGGGGAGTTGGGGCAGCTGCTAGGAGCCATCAGAGAGGATGGGGGCAGGTGACGGCCCTGTGCCTGAAATCCCCCTCCCCGCGTGTTCCCTCAGAGCGGGCAGGCGTACTACATCAATGACGGGGAGAGCGTCAACCTCTTCGAGTGGATGGCTCCACTGGTAGGTGCCCAGATACGCCACCGACCCAAGTGAGAATTCCGGGATCCCCAGGTCTTCCTTCCCTGTCACCTTTTCCTCTTTCCAAAAGCTCAGGAGGTTTCGCATTAAAGACCAGCTTGGCAACAGTGTCCACTTGGGTGGTGCTGGAACTGAGTCATGACCACCCCTTTAGGAGGCCAGGAGCTCCCCGAGTTTGCCACAGTCCCTCTCAGCCTGCTTCCTGACTTATGTTATGTCTTGTGAAGTTTGGCTTGTGGGCCCCCCACCTCAGTACTGTATAGGGAGGCCCTGAAAGAGGTAAGTAGGAGGTGGGCAAAGCACAAAAGGAGGTGCTGGCCTTCACAAAAGGAGGCACAGCCCCCACCCTGAGAATCCCGGCCTCCTCTCCCAGCAGCCTACAGACTCCTTGACGGGGTCGACCAGAAGCCCCACACTGGAGGCTATATCTTCCGGGTATTCAGGCCCTTTGCATGTCAACTTTTAACAGCTTTATTGAGATATAATTTAAAGACCATACAGTTCACCTACTGAAAGCGTACAAACCAACGGTTTTTAGTATTTTAAAAGTAGTATGACCATCACAGAAACACATTTTAGAACATTACATCACCTTCCCCCAAAACAGCCCCTCCAAAAACCATACTCTTTGGCTCTCATTTCTGTTTACATCTCATCCCACCCCACCCCTAGCCACAGGCAACCGCTAATCTCCTCCCTGCTTCTATAGGCTTGCCTGTTCTGGACATTTCCTATGAACAGAATCATACATTTGGGCTGTGTTAAGTTTCTTTCATTTAGCATAATGTTTTCAAGGTTCATCCTTGCTGTGGATGTGTCATATCAGTGCTTCATTCTTTTTTATTACAAAAAAAAAAAATTCCATTCAGTGGATATGCCAAATTTTGTTAATCCATTCATCATTGGATAGAAATTTGGGTTTTCCCAAATTACTGTTATCAGTAATGCTATTATGAACATTTGTGTATAAATAGTTGTGTGGACATATGTTCTCATTTCTCTTGGGTCTACACCTGGGAGTGGAATTCCTGGGTCATACATTCCCAGGTGGTGCTAGTAGTAAAGAATCTGCCTGCCTGTGCAAGAGATGTGGGTTCGATCGCTGGGTAGGGAAGATCCCCTGAAGGAGGACATGGCAACCCATTCAGTATTCCTGCCTGGAGAATCCCCATGCACAGAGGAGCCTGGCAGGCTACTGTGAATTCTATATAAATGCCTTAGAGTGTGTTTGGGTGAAGCAGATGTAAAAAATAACTAAATGATGGGAATGAGCCCAAGTTGAAAAACCCGCTCTGTGCCATCAATTCCCACTTAGTTTTCAAGGTCATAGTGTTTCATTTAAAGACTGGTGTAAACTTAGGGCTGGCTGTGGGGTCTGCCTGCTCTGGTGGGCAGATGAGGAGGGGCCAGGAGGTGCTCTGATGACTCTGGGGTAAAAGCAGTTTGTGGCCTCTGCACACTAGCCCTTCAGGTACCTGTTTTCTCGCCTCAAGCCATGTTTCCTTGCAGTTTGAGAAGCTGGGGTACAGCCAGCCCTGGATCCAGGTTCCTACTTCCTGGGTTTACCTGTCAGGTAAGGAAGGGTGTGTGTGTGTGTGTGTGTGAAAACCCTCCACGTGCCAGATGTACATGCATTGTTGTTGTTGTTCAGTCACTCAGTTGTGTCCGATTCTTTGCAACCCCATGGACTGCAGCACACCAGGCTTCCCTGTCCCTCACCATCTCCCAGAGCTTGCTAAAACTCATGTCCATCAAGTCGGTGATACCATCCAACCATCTCATCCTCTGTCATCCCCTTCTCCTCCTGCCTTCAATCTTTCCCAGCATCAGGGTCTTTTCTAATGAGTTGGCTCTTCACAGGTGGCCAAAGTATTGGAGCTTCGAGTTCAGCATCAGTCTTTCCAATGAAAATTCAGGATTGATTTCCTTTAGGATTGACTGGTTTGATCTCCTTGCAGTCGAAAGGACTCTCAGGAGTCTTCTCCAGCACCACAGTTCAGAAAGCATCAATGCATTACCTCATTTTAAACCCAGAGCCAGGACCTAGCTGAGAGGCAGAAAATTTAAGACCTGTACTCTCAGGTGTCAAATGCTCCAAACCTGATCTGCACTTGCCCAGCCCTGAGAGCTGGTGCCTCCTTAAATTTGCTCTCGAGACACCTTACTCACATCACCCTAGTCCTGGCCCTGTTTAAACTCTATCCCACTTGCAGGTGGGTGTGATTTGGCCCATTGTAAAGATGAGGCAGGTTAGCAGCCTGCCCGAAGTGCCATGCTGAGAAAGCAGGAGAGGCAGAATTCACACTGGGCTCCTCTGACTCCATAGGCCACTCCCAGCCCCACTGCTGTGCTGGACAGTGCTAAGCCAGGCAAAGGAGAGTGAGCCCTGGGGCTGCCCCATCCACCAAGGTCAGCCTGGAGTTAAGGCTACTTGGGGACATGTGGAGGTTCAGTTTTGACCCTGGGCCTTTCCTGGTGGCTCAACAGTAAAGAATCTGCCTGCAGTGTAGGAGACCCAGGCTTGATCCCTGGGTCGGGAAGATCCCCTGGAGAAGGGAATGACAACCCACTCCAGTATTCTTGCTTGGAGAATTCCATGGACAGAGGAGCCTGGCAGGCTACAGTCCGTAGGGTTGCAGAGTCAGACACAACTGAGTGACTAACACTTTCACTTTCTCCTCCTCACCCTGAAGGTCAGTCTCTACTCCCACACCCCAGCGTCTCTCTGCTGGCCTCCTTCCAGCTGGAATGCTGAGCGTGTGTCAGGCATGGAGTGATCAGCCCCAGGGGATAAGTGGCCCTCCAGTCACAGATAACTGAGTTCTGGAAAACCTCAGCTGGATCTGCTGCTCTTTAAGAGCACTGGGACGCTTGCCATTGAAAGCTGGGGTTTGCAGACTTCTGTCTCCCAGGGCACCCGCACAGAATGGCTTCCCCTGCACAGCATCGCCACCAAGAGTGACACTCCTGACCCGCAGCTGAGAAAAGTTCCACTGCAGCTTCTGGCAGTTTGAGTGAATTATCTATAAATTCCCAGTTCCCAGTGAGCTAACTGTAACTCAGAGCTTCTTACCCTTCGCTGCAGAGTAGAATCACCTGGGAGCTTTTAAAATCTAGAAATGCCTCAGCCACATCCCAGACCTATTATCTCAGCATTCTGCTGGTACAAGGGGATGGGGGAAGCTGGAACATTTAAAAAAGTGATCCAGTATAAAGCGTATGTTGAGTTCAATCACTGCCCCAGCTTCTTTCTCTCTGACTCAAGAGAGCATACTGGAATAGAAGTGAGAGAGACATGGTTGTAGATATCACTTTGAATCTGCTCAGATTTATTTTAAGATGTCAGGCTTTTAGTGTTAATAACAACTTACTTGTGACATATTTCATCACCAAGCAAAGTGCCCCAGGCTGTGCCGAGAAACTGATTTAAAGGAATCCCAAGAACAGGAAAATATTGGCAAAGAGAAGATTTCCGCTAGCAAGGCAAATAATGCCCCCAACTGACTTGCCCCTGAGAGCCTCCCTGGAGTTTGCGAAGAGCAGGCACCTGTTCACTGGTCCCTCTCTCCCCACACAGCCACGGTGATGGAGTATTTGCATCTGGCCCTGAGGCCCATCTGCAGCCTCCCGCCGCTGCTCACCCGGAGTGAGGTAAGGGAGCCCCTATGCCCTGGTGCCCCTCACTTGCCTTCCTGCCCCTTCTCCTTTCCCGCTCTGACACCGTAACTGGATGCTTGTCTGAAGTCTCAGAGCCTCCCATATGTGCCCAGATCTAGGGCCAGCTCCTTTATCACGTCCCAGCCTCTGAGCTTTGGCTTAGGCTGTGCTCTCTTGGTCTGAGGGGTGACCACTCCAAGCCCATCCTTCATCACTGTCATTTCATTCATAAGCAGTTTGCCTTCCCAGCCAGACTGGAGGCTCCTGAAGGCAGGTTCCATGACATTCACTTTCTGGAATGTCTCTACTCCCCAATAACTGTCAACGTGCACGCACACACACACACACAAGACACACACATTCAAGCTCACAGTTTGAGGCTCACAATTTCTGCTCAATGAACAAGTAAATATTAAGTAAGGACCTACTGTGTTAAGAACAGTGTTCTCAAATAATGATGATGCATTTTCTATTTGCATATAGAGTATAAAAGAGATGTTTTGGGAAAAAAATATGTTTTTATTTAAACATTACTTTTTCATGTATTTCCTTTATTTAGTCTTGGTTGTGCTAGCTCTTCGTTGCTATATGCAGGCTTTCTCTCTAGTTGTGATGAGTAGGGGCTACTCTTCCTGAGGAGCACCGGCTTGAGGTGCAGGGGCTTCAATAGTTACAACACACAGGCTCAGTAGTTGTGGCTCATGGACCCTAAGGCACATGGACTCCAGTAGTTGCGGCACATGGGCTTTAGTTGCTCTGAGGCATGTGGAACATTCCCAGATCAGGGATTGAACCCATGTCCCCTGCATTAGCAGGCAGATTCTTATCCACTGTGCCAGCAGGGAAGTCCTAAAACAGAGGATGTTTTAATGCAGATTGTAAATAGTAAAGCAAAATCCTTTCTCTCTCACTTGACTGTCCCTGATGCACTGCTAAGTTAGGAAGGCCAAAAAGATTAGTATCTCATTTAATGGTGAAAAATTGTGAGCACTAGAGTGAACCAATCACTGATTGGTTCAAGGCTTCCCAGGTGGCTCAGTGGTAAAGAATCTGCCTGCCGACGCAGGAGACATGGGTTCGATCCCTGGGTTGAGAAGATCCCCTGGAGAAGGATCTGTATTTTTTCTTGTATTCTTGTATTTCCTGGAAAATCCCATGGCCAGAGGAACCTGGCAGGCTACCGTCAATGGGGTCGCAAAGAGGTCAACACGACTGAGTACGCATACACACACCAAGCCCCCACCATTCTAAAATTGGCTTCACATTCAAAGCTCAGTGCTCCCCACTTCAGAGAATCAAGAATGGGCCATGGAAAGAAGCAGTTCCCTATGGTTTCTCCTTTTAGCCATCCGGACTAGCAGAGAGAAGAGAAAAATAAAAATAGGGACCATCTATTGAGTGGTGATGAAGTGCCAGGCACTGTGTTTATCTCATTTAATCTTGACAACCACTATACACGGTGGATTCTGTTGTCACTTCCATGTACAGAGGAGGTAGTGAAACACATGGCTAGGGGAGGGGGAGAGGGTAAAATAAACTACCCATCACCATTTGCTTATGTAGCAGTGCTGAGATTTGAACCCAGACCAAATCTAAAAGATTCCAAGCTTAACCACTAGCTTGTGAAATTTCAGGTATCATAGTCACATAAAATAACTGCCAAGGTACTGCTGAATTGTGGTCGGGCTGAGAGCTGGCTCCTCTTTCTCTCCCCTGGCTTGAGGTTTCCTTGTTCAATTTGGGGGCAAGGGATCCCTAGTTAGTTGTGAAGTTTCTGGGCACCGTGGCTCTGGCGCCCTCTGCTGGCTAGTCTATGATATACTAACCAACCCTCTAGTTGACTTCATAGCCTTTTTTCATTCATTTCACTTGTATTGAGCACCTACTGTATGCCAGGCATTGTTCTGAGGAATGGAGGTCCTCACTTCCTATTTGCATATACAGTTTAAAAGAGAGGATTTTTTTATTGAATAATAGTTGACTTATAATGTCTTAATTACTGCTACACAGCAAAGTGATTCAGTTATATATCCTTACATTATTTTCTTTAATGTTCTTTTCCATTATGGTTTGGGGCTTCCCTTGTGGCTCAGCTTGTAAAGAATCTGCCTGCAGTGTGGGAGACCTGGGTTTGATCCCTGGGTTGGGAAGATCCCTTGGAGAAGGAAATGGCATGTCCTAGGCATATAGGCGTCAGTAGTTGCAGCTTACTGGCCCTAAAGTGCAGGTTCAGTAGCTGCAGCCCATGGGCTTAAGTTGCTCTTTGGCGTGTGGAATCTTCCTGGACCAGGGATCAAACCCATGTCCCCTACCTTGGCTGGTAGATTCTTACCCACTGTACCACCAGGGATGTCCATAATCACAGAATATTGAATATAGTTCTCTGTGCTATATAAGACCTTACTGTTTATTAAAAGAGAGTATATTTTAATGCAGATTGTAAACAGTAATAATCTGTTTATCCCTGGTGGTTCAGCCAGTAAAGAGTCTGCCCACAATGTGGGAGTCCTGGGGTTCAATCCCTGGGTTGAGAAGATCCCCTGGAGAAGGAAATGGCAACCCACTCCATTATTCTTGCCTGGAGAATTCCATGGACAGAGGAGCCTGGTGGGCTACAGTCCACGGGGTCACAAAGAGTTGGACACGACTAAGTGACTAACTTTCACTTTCATAAACAGTAAAGCAACAAGTGGTGTTTGGTATTATTTGCACAGTCCTTCCAGTCCACTCTCTGATCTGACTGTCCCTGATGCTCTGGTAAGTTAGGAAGGGCAAAAAGATTATAATCTCACTTAATGGTGAGCTCACAGTCCATCCAAAGAGGAAGACAGCCCAACAACCAGGCAACTCAACACACTGTGATAAGGACTATATTGGGGGAAGTGATGAGAAACTTCAGGGTACACAGAAGAGGGAGAATTGGTTTATACCAATTCTGAGGAAGTTAGGGAGGGTTTCCCAAAGGAGGTGACATCCAAGCCTGAGATCTTGGACCCCTTTTTATCTAGTTCACAGCTGTATCCCCCAAAGCCCTGAACTTCTAGCTGCGGCAAAAAGAGACAAGAACTGGCCTCCCTCCCTCTCTCCCACACTAGCATCCACGATCAAGCCCTTGGCTTGACCCCAAGGGCTGGTACGGGGCCCCAGCGGAATCAAGCAGCTAGCGGACCCCTTCCCAGTGTCCAGCTGAGGAACTAAAGCGGAAGAAATGAATCAGGCGGGAGGGTATCCTCCCAGTCCTAACACAGCAGGGAAAGGCATGGGCTAGAACTGGGCTCCCTTGTGTGACCCTGGGCAAGTCACTTAACCTCTCTGATCAATTTTCAAGAGGAGACGGTGGTATTAGCATTTCAGAAGATTGAATGAGACGAGGCCCAGAAAGAAATTAGCCCGACAGGCACAAGGTGCTAGTTCAGTACTTGTTAGCTGTCAGTACTACCTTTGAAGCCTGAGGGCCCCAAGACTTCTGCCAGCAGGGAAGGCTGCTCAGACCCTGGAGAGTCAGCACTTCTGCATAACTGAATTCCTCTCTTAGGGAAGCTCAGTTAATCAGCAAGGGAGTGAAGGCTGTGCCCTGGGACCTGCCTGCCCAGACTCAATCTGGGGCTGTGGGCTGAAAAGCCCAGGGTGTCCCCTGGAGATACATTTCCGGAGAGCTGCACCCAGGCTACAGGCAGAATGTATCAAGGTCCTCCTGAGCCCCAGCATCTTCTAGGCCAAGGAAGGGAGTGCAGAAGTGGGGCCTTTACTTTTGGGGGACTGAGAGATTCAGTAGGGTGAGGAGATGCAGAGAAGACATCCTGGAGGTGTCGCCCTCAAAGAAAATGGGTGCGGAAAAGAGAAAGGAATTCCTCCCCATGAGGACATCGAAGGCGCGAGATCCAACACTTTGGGAAAGGAAAGGAAAGGAAAATGAAGTCGCTCAGTCGTGTCCGACTCGTTGCGACCCCATGGACTGCAGCCTCCCAGGGTCCTCCGTCCATGGGATTTTCCAGGCAAGAATACTGGAGTGGGTTGCCATTTCCTTCAAATCGCTGTGCGACGCAAGGGAAATCCCTACCCTCTCCCGTCCCAGTGAAACAAGGTTGCTTCCCACGCCCACTAGTCCAGCCCCGCGGCTGTCCCGCCTCTCCCCTCAGGTGCGGAGTGTGGCCGTGACGCACACCTTCCAGATCGCCAAGGCCCGCGCCCAGCTTGGCTACGTGCCGGACAAGTTCAGCTTCGCGGATGCAGTGGAGCGATATGTGCAGTCAACAGCCGGGCGGACCCGCGGCTCCACCGCGCGGACGCTCCTGCGGCTGCTGCTCGGGCTCTTGCTGTTCCTTGGCCTGCTCGTCCTGGCCCTGCGCTTCCTAGGCCTGCAGCCGTCCGTCGTCTGACGTCATCGCCGGCCCATCCCTGCTCCCGCCTCGCCTACAGGACTCGGACCAGACCCTGCTCCGCCCTCCGGGCTTGGGCGTATCCTGGTGTCCTGGACTTGTCCCTGCCACGCCCTCTGGGTTTGGGTCTGCCCGGGGCGCAAATGGCAACCCATTCCAGTATTCTCGCCTGGAGAATTCCATGGACAGAGGAGTGGGCTACAGTCCATGGAGTCGCAAGAGTCGGACACGATTTAGCTACTAACTCATCATCATCTGGGCCCCAGCGTTCTGACCCCGCCCTTGCCCCGCCCTTGCCCCGCCCCCGTGTTTAGACACGCCCCTGCCCCGCCTCTTGAGTCATGACCACGCCCCTGCTCCTCCCTTCGGGTCTTGAGCTCCCCCTGGCCTGGAGAGGATGCCACGGGAAGGTCCTAGCCTCTCAGCCTGCTCCGCCTTCCAGGCCTTCTCCCCGTCCCTACCCAGGTCTCACCCGCCCCAGGGTTCTCTCCTGCTCTAGTTCCGCCCTCTTCCTGGCTCTACCTGTAAGCTTGAGCCCGCCCCCTGGTTTCTCCCCAGGGAATTAGCCTTGCTCAGCCCTTTGGGTAGGAGCTTCCCAGGTGGCGCTAGTGGTAAAGAACCCGCCTGCCAATGCAGGAGACATCAGGCTGGGTTTGATTCCCGGGTCGAGAAGATCCCCTGGAGAAGGAAATAGCAACCCACTCCAGCATTCTTGCCTGAAGAATCCCATGGACATAGGAGCCTGGCGGACTACAGTCCAGAGCGTAGCAAAAACTTCCACACGACTGAGCAAGCGGGCACGCCCTATCCCTCTGGGTCGGGTCCCTCCCCTCTTCTACTTGCGATCGGGTCCTAGCCCCGCCCCCTTCCGTCTGGTTCCACCCCCTCCAGTCACGTCACTTAGGCGAGTTCGTAGGGCCTGAGCGACTGAACTGAGCTGAACTGCAGCCACTTGTGCAAGCTGGGCAGACGTTTGCAAGTTTTCGCTGTCTGTTGCTACCTCTCTAGGGACACAGACCCTCCTTGCTGCCCTAACTTCCCTGGGCTTGCCCTCAGATTGGGATCTTGGAGTAGACCCATTCTAGGAGCACTGTGTTTGATCTTCTGCTCGGCTTACGTTTTGGGTTCTCTCACTCATCAGACCTCCTGTGTGTTGATCGCCAGGGTTGGAAGGAAACCTGAGACCCGGGCTTCTGCCTAGTCCTACTAGGCCTTTTTGGGTTTCCAGGGTATAAGTCTGGGGATGATTCAGCTTAGTAAGCACAGATTTTGGTACCAGAAGGGACATCAAAAAGAAAAAACTGTATTTTTTAGGGTGATAAAAAGATAAAACCTCCAGTTAAAAGTAAATAAATCCTGGGGGTGTAATATACAGCATGGTTACTATAGTTAATAATGCTATATTGTGTTTATGAATGTTGCTGAGAGTAGATCTTAAGTTTTTATTACAAGAAAAATTGTAACTGTGGTGATGGAAGGTAACTAAACATTGTGACCATTTTACAATATATACATATAGCAAAGAATTATATTGTACACCAGAAACCAATATAATGTTGCCTGTCAATTAAATCTCAAAAAAAGAAAAAACACTTTTTAAAGAACTGAATCTGTTGTAAGGCAGAAACCAAGGCAATATTGTAAAGGAATTATTCTCCAATTAAAAATAAATTAAAAATTTAAACGAATCGACTTTCTGGGAAAAATAGCAGTAAGTTTTAATGGGAATTTTTAGAAATTAATTGGTCATACTTTTTTTATTTAATGTTGCTTCTATTTGTTCCTGAGGGGGCCAGCAGTGATCACCATAGTCTTTAATGTTTAAACCACAATACTTCTTAATCCAGCCCTGCTCTCCACAGACACAGTGCCTCCCTATTATCTTGGTTTCAATTGTGGATACCAAAATATTAGTATGTAAATACACCTGTGTATATATCATAATATACACAGGTGGAACTGGCTGATAAAACTATGGATCCTAGCAGAGAAGAAAACCATCACAGACCTAAAGAAACCTGTGATGAGGAGGAGTAAATATGTTAGGGCCAAATGGCCCTGGCATGAGCATCAACGGGGTGTCCTCTGCTGAACAATTAAGAAAATTTGTGAAGCAGCTCAAAAATGTGTGCTTCTATTTACTATGTTGAATTGCATGTGTATATATAACTTTTAAAAACAATAATCCTTTATGTTTTGTTCATGCTTCATCCTTTCTATTTAATGCTTGACAGTTTGAAAGAGCTTTCATCTATATGCTCTGAGACTTAATTCTCAGGACCACTCTTACATAGGGCTTATTATCATTCTCATTTTTAAATGAGAAAACGGGGGTTGTCTAACTTGAAAGAGTGGAGGAATGTGGGGATGACTGCTCTGCAGGTGGATGAGATGCTCCAGGCCCACTGGGCTAAACATGACCCACGGGTTATTTCTGCTTTTCTACTCCTTGACCACAGCTTGGGTTGAGCTCCAGGATATATCTCAGTCCAGATCCACAAACCTTGGACCAGTTGGGACTGGCAGCCCTTGGGATTTCTTTCTTCTCAGTAACATGCTTGCATTTAAATTCACCTTCCCCTCTGACTTTCTCTGAGAAATCTGTTCTTAGCAGAAGGAAAATAGGCTTTTACTGTTGACATAATCTAAATCTTTTGTCTACTGACAAACCTCAGCTTGTGAAACTCAAAAGCAAAATCAATTTCTTTGTTTTCTGAATTTTTCTAAATCATCTCTTCCCCTGGTAGTAGAATGTCTAAACCCTGGAGTATGGGTCACTATATCAGAAAGCTTCCTTCCTCTCAAGTGTCTTTAACCAATGGGAAAGGAGGGGGCACCTCCACCCAACAGAGAGAGTCCCAGTGAGGGTTTTTAGAGGCTGTCCAGATAACCCACCCTCCATGAGGTTCTTCTTTTTTCTTTTTTTAATACTTTTCATATTTTATTTCATTTTAAATTTTTATTGGGGAATAGTTGTTTTACAATGTTGTGTTAGTTTCAGATGTACAGCAAAGTGATTTAGTCATACATATATGACATACATATATACATATATCCACCCTTTTTAAGATTCTTTTCCTGTATAAGTCGCTAGAGTAATGAGTTTCCTGTGCTATACAGTAGGTCCTTATTACATAAGTACTATGCATATGTCAATCTTGGTCTCCCAATTTATCCCTCCCCCCTTCCCCTCTAATAACCATAAGTTTGTTTTCTATATCTGTGACTCTATTCCTTTTATTTTTTTAAGCATTTGTTGTTGTTATTTAGTGGCTAAGTTGTGACCAGCTCTTTTTGAGGCCCCATGGACTGTAGGCCTCCAGGCTCCTCTGTCCATGGAATTTCCCAGGCAAGCACACTGGAGTAAGTTGCCATTTTCTTCTCCAGAGGATCTTCCCTACCCAGGGATCGAACCCACGTCTCTTACATTGCAGGCAGATTCTTTACCCCTGAGCCACCTGGGAAATTTCATCATTTTATCAGTTGACAGGGCCTAGAAACAATAGTACCTCAGTATCTAGACCACATCTGGTACCCAGATCTTGTTTCCTTAATACCATTCTCTAATAAAGGGCCCATGACGCCTAAGATAAACAGCAAACTCTGGAACAGGAAACATGTAAGATGAACCTGGAGCATCTTATGGTGCCACAAAGTGAGAAGTGTTTAAAAACAACAACCATGCAATGATGGAGGTATATTGAAAGGACACCTGAGCCAGCTATAAGAGCTCCCAGTGGCTAAAAATACAACACTTTGAACAAATGATTATTGGATTATTTCCAAAAATATAAAATGAATATCTAGGAGTCCATAGTGGTACAAATAAATTTAATAAATGAGGGAAGAGACCACTTGCTTTGTATAGAATTTCAATTAACTGATGTAAACATTTCACCCTTAAGTGAAGTGAAAAGTGAGAATATCACAACTCCACATTACTATATATAAAATAGATAACTAATAAGAGCACAGGGAACTCTACCCATTATCCTGCAATGACCTATATGAGAATAGAATCTGAAAAGGAGTGGATATGTGTGTATGTATAACTGATTCACCTTGCCCTACAGCAAACACTAACACAACGTTGTAAATCAACTACACTCCAATTTTAAAAAAATTTTTTTAAGTGTATACAGTGACTTCATTCTAAAGAGTACAGTGCTGGGGAGGGGGTGTGAATTTCCAGTGGAGAAACCTGCAAATAAGACCTAGCCAGATGATCAAGGTTAACATCAACAGTAATAAATCATGTTGCTAATGTGTACTTTTTTTTTTTTTAGCCATACTTGGGGGATATTAGTTCCCCAGCAAGGATGGAATCTGCAACCCCCTTGCATTGGTTAGAATCCTAACCACTGGCCCTCCAGAGAAGTCCCAATAGCCTGTACTCTTGATGTGGAAGAGAACGGCGCTTTACCTCTGTGGTCTTCCTTTCAAAATCCCTTAAGATTCTAAGGTCCCAAATTTTTTTTTTCCATTTATTTTTATTAGTTGGAGGCTAGTTACTTTAACATATTGTAGTGCTTTTTGTCATGCACTGACATGAATCAGCCATGGATTTACATGTATTCCACATCCCGATCCCCCCTCCCACCTCCCTCTCCACCCAATCCCTCTGGGTCTTCCCAGTGCACCAGGTCCGAGCACTTGTCTCATGCATCCAACCTGGGCTGGTGATCTGTTTCACCCTAGATAATATACATGTTTCCCAAATCCTAATTATGAAAAGAAATCAAAGTAATTGAGAAACTTTCTACAAAATGCCTTACTCAGAACTGGGGGTGGGCGGGGGGGAGTCATCAAAAACAAGGAAAGTCTAAGAAGCTGTCACAGCCAACAGAAGTCTAAGGAGATATAATGACTAAATGTAATGTCCTCAGAGGGATCAGCTTCCTCATGCTGCATAACAATCTTCACAGGTACAATGGAGGAAAGTTCAGTGGCTGTGAACTTCGTGCGTGTCAAGGCCGTCTGCCCTCTTCCTCTTTAGCCTC